GGGGGGGCGGTAGAAACATTTCAGCTTCTAGTTCAAGAAAAGAAACAGAAACATGTGTAATGTGCGGGCTGTCACCCATCCATTTACTGACCATTTACTGACCATGCTCGATTTTGCTAAACTAGTAAGTCGGTTCCTGGGTTATACTGCATCACTAGAAAAGCTAGCTTGCCAGTAAGGCAGTATTTTAGCTAGTAATATACCTTAGCTATTACACTATTCGCCCCTTCGAGAAGTCTCGACCTGAGGCTTGACCTGGGGTATGCCATAGGTCAACCTGTCTATCACTGCACCTTCCCTAACCACCGGGAACTGGCCTTACATGATCACAGAGTCATTATGCTGCCACCAAATGTAACGTGCGGGCAGTCACCCATACAACTACTGACCACGCTTGACGTTGCTGAACTAGTGAGCGTGCGGGTCACCTCATTATACCACATCACTGGAAAAGCTAGCTTGCCAGTAAGGCATTTTTTTCCCCCTCATAAACCTTAGCTGTTACACTTGATACAGTCTTTGTTTCCCTGTTCTTTCCTTAGTATTTACATTTGTCTTAACAATAATCAAATACTTAACTGTCTTGCTGCTTAAGCAGATTATCAAAATATGGTCACAATGAAAATTTAACAGTCTGGAACATTTATACAAGGAAGAAAAACTAATCAAGTCTGGGATAAATGTTTTTTTTTTTTTACCAGTACTACAAGACGGTGAAGAAAGAACTAGAATTCTTCCACAAGGAGATTGTGTGTGATGGTCATCGCATGCGTTGGGCAGTTGGAGACTGGACAGATGATTCCGACCAGATGATTCTGATTTTGTTGTCACTTATCGAGAAACAAGGAAAGGTAATTACCATAACTGACTCCCATATTAACTATAGCAAGTACTCTTTTCCAAATAAAAACACATGTCAACTCAAACCTGTCATTTTGGGTTCTCTCTTTAACAATCTTGTACCCAGGCTGTAATTAATCTATTTTAGTACATGTACTTCTAATTACTAAAAAAACGGGTACCAATTTTAGTATATTTTCGAGAGAAAAAAAGAAAACTTTTTATTCAAACTTGTTACTTATAATAATGTCACTTATAATAATGTAAGCTGGGTATTTTGTATTTTTTCTCTCTCTCTCTCTCTCTCTCTCTCTCTCTCTCTCTCTNTATGGTTAATTGTTCACAAATCAATGAAAATGTTTTGTTCTGTATATTTGAAAAAAAAAAAAGAAAAAATAATTCAAATTTGTTGATGGATTTCCTTTAAAAAGATATTCAAATTCAAATTCTGTCCTTTGAACAGGTTGATGTACTTGATTTTGGGAGACGAATAAAGCACTGGACCCAGAAAGGATTCCCTGGATTGGGTGATTTTGTTGGAATGGGCCAAGGGAAGACAACTTCTACTGTTATCAAAAACCCAGATTACACTAAGGATCCACATGCTGTAAGTATGCAAAAACTGTGTAATATCTAAAGAAAGAAAATATATTGAATTCTCAACTGGAATATTTCAAATAATTAATTTAATAATTAACAAGTGTTAAAATCATACAAAATCTGTTTAATATCTAAAGAAAGAAAATATATTGAGTTCTCAACTGGAATATTTCAAATAATTAATTAATTAACAAGTGTTAATATCATACAAAAACTGTTTAATATCTAAAGAAAGAAAATATATTGAGTTCTCAACTGGAATATTTCAAATAATTAATTAATTAACAAGTGTTAATATCATACAAAAACTGTTTAATATCTAAAGAAAGAAAATATATTGAATTCTCAACTGGAATATTTCAAATAATTAATCAATTAACAAGTGTTAATATCATACAAAAACTGTTTCATTTAATTCAACAGGAGTTAACTCTCAGTATTGTAGAAACCTCTTGCTTCTATTGAAATGGTAAGGATAACTGTAATTTTATTTAATAGGATTTAATAGGATATTAGTGGACGCAGGCATTTCTGCCTCTATATCCACATCAATATAATTCGAAATACAATGTGGTAAACATAAAAAAAGCCTATATAAGCCTTTACATAGGATGCTGTATGATCATACTTCAACTTAAGAACTTCCCAGAATTCATCTAAGTTTTTCTCAAAGTCAAATATTAAGTCCATAATTTTGTCCTGAAAATTGATGAAAATTTGATAGCGTCAGTCCTAAACGAAATCCTCACATCACAGGCTGCAGACCTAGTTTGGACAGCTAATGGTAAAGTTCTAGCTGCAAATGGCGCTGTGATGCGGACCAGTATCCTGGGGATCCATATGTACGCTGATATAGACATTGTCGTACAGAACGCAATTACCATTGCTAGAGCGACACATGCTGACCCGAGGTAAGGAATTAGTTTTCTATCACTCCAGCATTACATTTTCCGGACACTGTTCCTCCATATTACCAGAGTTGCCTTGTAATTCCAGTAAATTGATTTCCAGCTAAAGTTGTCCTATTGTGAAATGATTGGACTACAAATACAAAAAAAATAAAAATATTGTTGGTGACTTGATGAATGAGACATGATAGTGAGACAGTTGTAATAGTGATGGCTGGATGAATGAGGCATGGAAATGGGACAAGATTAATGATGGCTGGATTAACAAGGCTGGCTATAGGAACAACTAAAAAGGTGCTTGGTGACTAGATTTATGAGGCTGAATAAATGGACAACTAGATTAATGGATTAATGAGGCATTGAAATATGACAACCAGATTAGTGGTGGCTGGATTAATGAGGAATGGGGCAACCAGATTAATGGTGACTGGATTAATGAGGAATGGGAAAGGAACAACCAGATTAGTGGTGACTGGATTAATGAGGAATGGGACAACCAGATTAATGGTGACTGGATTAATAAGGAATGAGACAACCAGATTAGTGGTGACTGGATTAATAAGGAATATGACAACCAGATTAATGGTGACTGGATTATGAGGAATGGGACAACCAGATTAGTGGTGACTGAATTAATGAGGAATGGGACAACCAGATTAATGGTGACTGGATTAATGAGGAATGGGACAACCAGATTAATGGTGACTGGATTAATGAGGCTGGATAGAGGAACAACCAGAGTAGTGATGGCTGGATTAATGAGGAATGGGACAACCAGATTAATGGTGACTGGATTAATGAGGAATGGGAAAGGAACAACCAGATTAGTGGTGACTGGATTAATGAGGAATGGGAAAGGAACAACCAGATTAATGGTGACTGGATTAATGAGGAATGGGACAACCAGATTAGTGGTGACTGGATTAATAAGGCTGGATAGATGGACAACTAGATTAGTGGTGACTGGATTAATAAGGCTGGATATATGGACAACTAGATTAGTGGTGACTGGATTAATAAGGCTGGATATATGGACAACTAGATTAGTAAATTGAAGAGGAATGGGAATGGGACTACCAGCTGCAGATTAGTGGTAACTGAATTAATAAGGTTGTATAGAGGAACAACCAGATTAGTGATGGCTGGATTAATGAGGAATGGGTCAACCAGATTAGTGGTGACTGAATTAATGAGGTTGGATAGAGGGACAACCAGATTAGTGGTGACTGGATTAATGAGGAATGGGACAACCAGAGTAATGGTGACTGGATTAATAAGGAATGGGACAACCAGATTAGTGATGACTGGATTAATGAGGAATGGGAATGGAACAACCAGATTAGTGGTGACTGGAATAATGAGGAATGGGACAACCAGATTAATGGTGACTGGATTAATAAGGAATGGGACAACCAGATTAGTGATGACTGGATTAATGAGGAATGGGAATGGAACAACCAGATTAGTGGTGACTGGAATAATGAGGAATGGGACAACCAGATTAATGGTGACTGGATTAATAAGGAATGGGACAACCAGATTAATGGTGACTGGATTAATAAGGAATGGGAAAGGAACAACCAGATTAGTCGGGACTGGATTAATGAGGAATGGGACAACCAGATTAATGGTGACTGGATTAATGAGGAATGGGAATGGAACAACCAGATTAGTGGTGGCTGGATTAATGAGGAATGGAACAACCAGATTAGTGGTGACTGGATTAATGAGGAATGAGACAACCAGATTAGTGGTGACTGGATTAATGAGGAATGGGACAACCAGATTAGTGGTGACTGGATTAATGAGGAATGGGACAGCCAGATTAGTGGTGACTGAATTAATAAGGTTGGATAGAGGGACAACCAGATTAGTGATGGCTGGATTAACGAGGAATAGGAATTGGACAACAAGATTAGTGGTGACTTGATATATGAGTCTTGATATTGGAACAGCTATATTAGTCATGATTAACAAGGCCTAAAGTCGAAATTTGAGATTAGTGAGGGCTGGATTGACATGACTGGATAGTGAAACATTAATCTTTTAATTTTTATTTTTCAGATAAAAAATAAGCACTTGTTTATATCAATTCCTTTTTTTTTGTGATGGGGATCATGTTTTATCAAATTATGGGGGGAAAAAAAGAAAAATGTTTGAAGAGATGTTTGCATGAATATGCATTTACGTACCTTAAATGGTTCAACTGTGTCTATAAGTTCCAACTTTCTTCGGAGCAGGTGTCGAGCATCAACAGTTGCTGTTTGTGTGGCAATAGCCCTGATGTTACAACGCCAACCAAAACATCTTGACAAGAAAGGATGTTACAATGTAAATGCGATCATCAGCCATTGTTATGACTATGCATCAAAATGTCTGGAAACTGATAAGGAGGTGAGATATTAGGAATGTCACGATTGTTATTGAACAGTCAGAGAATTGCGTGGTTTAGAATACTTAACATGGACAGGTTAATTAACATTGCATCTATATATCGATGCGGATGCGGATTCAGATTCTTTATTTGCCAGGAGCTATAAGGCTAATATAATGCCATACTGGCAAACTTTTCATAATTTTCAACAGGAGATTTTGTGCAGACCATATGTTGAATCCAACTGATACGATTACAATTACATTCATAGGTTCATTATCTAATGATGGCTTAACCTGGAACATTACCTAGTTCTAGAAGAGACTCAAAATGAAGTACATGTAGTGCTACAGCAGTACGAATCTTGAAGCAAGCAATTTCTTGTGTTTATTCTTTTGAAAAGAGTTTCATGTTCAAAAGAAAAACTCTGCCCACTTCTCTTTAGAGAACTGTAATTGGTTGATGACAGATTTTAAATTTGCACGGAGGCACGGTAGTAAATTTGGTAGGACACCGGGCTGGTGACCGAAGGGTTGTGGGTTCGAGTCACACCACGGCACTGTGTTGTATCTTTGAGCAAGATACTTTACTCCGCTTGTTCCAGTCTACTCAGCTGTAAATGAGTACGTGGTTGGGCACTTTAATTGTTGAATGCTAGTTGTGAGCACCGAAATGGCAGCACTGGTTGTATGCTCCCGTGGGAGTTGAGATATTGGCTGGTTGCATAGGCCCTATAACCAATGATAATAATTTGTGAATCGCTTTGAGACGGCCTATGAACTAGGTTTTGATAAAGCGGTACATATCAGAACCTCAAACTATTATTATTGTTATAATGCAAGAATAAAACATTGATACCACTCAGGCCATTCTGACTTATGTTTAGAAAACATTTTGAGGAAAAAAAACATGTATCCCATATTATTTATTGACATTCCTAAATTAATTAGTAGTTAATTAATAGTTCATTGGAATAATACTGGTAATCAGTTAAATCACAAATGACATTTTAAAAGTTAAATTTTTAGGTCACCTGAGGCAAAGTCTCAAGTGACCTATTGCGATCGCCTTTTGTCCGTCGTCGTCCGTAGTCCGTCCGTAAACAATTTACATTTTCGACTTCTTCTCTAAAACCCCTAAACCAATTTCAATGAAATTTTGCAGAAACCTTCCATGGCCAAAGGTCAACTAAAATTGTGAATTATATGGTCCCCAGCCCCCAGGGGCCTGAGGGGTGGGGCCAAAAAGGGTAAAATTGACTAAAATTTCAAAAATCTTCTTCTCAAGATCCAGATATGGTAGAATCAAATACTCTTCATAGATAGAAGGGTCTTAAGGTGCTTTACTAAAATTGTGAATTTCTTGACCCTGGGGTCTCACGTTTCCCCCTGGGGAGGGGGTAAACTTTACTATAGTTTATATAGGGAAATCACATTTTGGACCAACATTTGTTTAATTGCCATTGGAAGTAATTCAATTT